CTACCAGAATGGTAATCATCACCATCAGCACCATCACCATCATCACCAGCATCAGCATCGTCATCGTCATCAGCATCACCGTCATCAGCATCGTCACCATCAGCATCATCAGCATCATCATCAGAATCCGACTCATCATGTTCAGCAGCATTATCAACATGATCATCAGCATCATCATCAGCACCATCAGCAGCAGCAGCAACATCATCGTCATCATCATCAGCATCATCGTCCTCCTGCTCCGCATGCTCATCATCATCTGCATCACCACCACCATCACCATGAACACCACCATGACCATCACCATTACCTCATCATCACAGTCATCATCACCACCGCCATACCATGACCACAATCATCATCACAACCATCAGCATCATCAGCAGCATCATCATTATCATTATCAGCGTCGTCACTACCATCGTCATCATCACCATCGCCGTCGTCGTCATCGTCATCATCATTTTCATCATCATCATCATCATCATCATCATCATCATCATCATCATCATCATCATCATCCTCATCCTCATCCTCATCCTCATCCTCATCCTTACTATTAGTATCAGAACTATCATCACCACCATCATCATCATCATCATCATCATCATCATCATCATCATCATCATCATCATCATGCCTGCTGTCAGCTGCTCGTGCTCACGCTCACCGCCCTCCTCCCCTCGGCGGCCGCACCAGAGGTGCAGCCGCCGAGCGGTGCCCGAGGGGGCATGGAGGCCTACACACGGGCTTCGGGAGAGCAGCCTGCTGCGAACGCGACGCTCAGAACCCAGACGTGCTCGCGTCGCGGAAAAGCAGGACGGGAGGTTGGGGGGCCTCTGGGGGCCGTGGCCGGACCCCAGGGCCGTCGAAGAACGACTCGGGGTGACAAACCGGTTCTGGGGAAAGGGTCGGGACTTCCGGGGGCCCCGAATCTCGGGGGCGGAAAAGAGGGGGGTGATGACTAGGGGGGGGTGGATGTCATGGCGGGGGCCATGATATTTCCCCAGATTTCATGGCGCCCCTTCTTATTTCATTTTACGTCCCTGGCCCCCCCGCTGGGCCGCGCACATGCCGCCGGTCATGATTTGCGCCCCCCCCCTCTTGGACACCCCCCTCTTGGCCGCTCCCGAGAATCAAGAGCAGAAAAAATCAGGGCACCGCATTCGGTAGCAAAGCATGGAAGCCTGGTACACACCCTCGAGTTCCGTCTCTGGCGTCAGCTGGCGTCGATCAGCGTCTGAGAGTCGATGAGAGCGTCGACAATGCGTCGATGTTGCGTCGATTTGGCGTCAACGCTGCGTCGATTTAGCGTCGATCAGCGTCGGTTCGCAAGCAAGATAGTTTGTTGGCGGCTCGCACAGGGGGGTATGGGGAGGGGGGAAGGCTTCTTAGAAGCACCCCTGCTTCTTAGAAGGCGCGGGCCTTGTCTACAAATGTAAGGCCGGCGCCTTCTAAGAAGCAGCCTCGTTCTAAGAAGCCTTCCCCCCTCCCCATACCCCCCTCCTGCGCGCCGCCAAGTTTGGGAGGCTCCCAGAAGCTGCCACCGAACGTCTGGGAAGCGTGGAGGGCAGCGGCCCCCTCCAGACTTCCCCCCCGCGGGGGGCAGGGCGCGGCGGCGGCGACTCGCCAGGGGTGCCCAGGCCCCCCCGGCACGCCGTGAAGAAAATGAAGGCCGAAGGCTTGTCGCTCCAGTCACCGGCGCCACCCTCCTCCTCCTCCTCCTCCTCCTCCTCCTTTTCCTCCTCCTCCTCCTCCTCCTCCGTTTCCTTTTCCTCCTCCTCCTCCTCCTCCCAACATGCTGATCTTGTAGTGGCCTTCGGCCAGTGCCGCCGATCCAGGTCGCTTGGGGTGCCCCCCAGACTGGGCGGCGCAATCTGCGCCGACAGACGCGCGCGCACACGCTCGCAGACAGTACGCGCACACGCGCACACACACACACACACACACACGCGCGCCGTGAAGAAGATGAAGACCGAAGGCTTGTCGCTACAGTCACCGGCGTCACCCCAACATACTGATACTATGTACTATGCGTGCGTCGCCCCCACCAGGGGCGACGCACGCACCGAGAAATCTTCTTGCAATTGCGTCGTGGGGGGCGTTTCTTGGCCACACCGCTTGGGAAACGACACACTACAAGGTGGGTATGCTATGTGTTCAGGTCGGACGCGCGCCTCCAAGGAGGACGCGTAGTACCACTATGTCTCTGCGCGTCCCATGTCACGACGCGGAAACAAGAACCACGTTGGGTTCGGAAGGGGCTCGCTGTTCCTTGGGTCAGTCCGAGGTCCTTCCCCTAGCCCTCCTCGTGCACCCAGGTGCCGTTTGTCGTTTCCCAGCATGCGGCCCTTGTTTCAGCAACCCTTTTGTAGCTTTGGCCCCAGGGGGGGGGCCCTTGCCGGACCTCTGGACAGTCAAAGGAGCTACTCGGGACGGAAAGCCGGCCCCCAGGAAGGCCCCGAGATCGGTCGGATGCCCGACAACCAAATACACCACATGGCGAAAAGTCACGAGCGGAGCCCAAGACCCCCCGGCTTTCTGCGCCGCGTCTCGAGCCAGATCGACCGGTGAGGGTCCCCCGGGCCCCAGAGCGGGCGAGAACCCGCGGCTCGAAAGAATCTTGGCGCCACTTCACATGGCGCCTCGATTCTTCGAGCCCTTGTTGGGCCCCGGAGAGCCCGTGCAGGGCCCCCGAGGTGGGCGAGAAGTGCGCCAGTGTTTCCCCCCACACTGCGGTTCTGCAGTGGGGGGTAGTCAATGGGGTTGTGAAGAAACGGTGCACTTCTCGCCCACCTCAGGGGCCCTGCAGGGGCCCTCTGGTGCCGAACAAGGGCACAGAACGTGCGCGTCTCTTCATTCCACCATGTGCCAGGCCTCCAAGATAGGGTCCGAGTATATGGGGTCGGAGGAATGTGCCGTTTTGCCGATGCATCGGCGATACGGCCCGATGCGGAGCCCGAAATTGTCCGCGGTGGCTTCGCCGATACACCGCCGACGTCGCCGATGCATATTCGGTGCATCGGCGATGCAGTGGCGATGCGGCGCGATCCTCCGACCCCATCTACTCGGACCCCATCTAGGACGCTTTTAAAGACGCTGAAAAATGAGGACCGCTCCGGGTTCGCAGGGAGCTCGCTGTTTCTTCGGTACTTCCATGGCTGCTCCTCCAGCCCTCCTCGCGCAATCAGGCTCTTCTTCTGGTGCCTTCAGAGTGGCTTCGTGTCTTACCTTTGCGCCCCTCTTTCAGCAGCCGCACTGTACATCCACCTACCCGGACCCCATCTAGGAGGCCTCTACATCTCTCCTCTTCCTCCTCCTCCTCCTCCTCCTCCTCCTCCTCCTCCTCCTCCTCCTCCTCCTCCTCCTCCCCCTCACGTGCGGCGGCGAGCGCGGGAGCGGGAGGAGGAAGAGGAGGAGGAGGAGGAGAAGGAGGAGGAGGAGGAGGAAGGAGGAGGAGGAGGAGGAGGAGGGAGGAGGAGGAGGAGGAGGAGGAGGAGGGAGGAGGAGCAGGAGGGAGGAGGCCTCCTATGAAGGGGCCCGAGTATGACAAGGATCGCGCCGCATCGCCGATGTATCGACGATGCGGCTCGATGTGGAGCCCGTGTTTCCCCGCACCGATGTCGCCAATGCATCGCCGACGTCGCTGATGCATCGCCGATGCATCGCCGATGCATCGCCGACGCATCGCCGACGCATCGGCGATGCATCGGCGATGTGGCGCGATCCTTCGGCCCAGTCTACTCGGACCCAATCTAGCAGGCTTCTAGGTAGAGGGAGGAGGGAAGGCTTCTTAAGAGCACCCCTGCTTCCTAGAAGGCGCGGGCCTGGTCTGCAGACGTTGGGCCGGTGCCTTCCTAGAAGCAGCCTCCTTCTAAGAAGCCTTCCCCCCTGCCACCCCTTGCGCGCGCCGCCAAGCCTCGGTCCGGACCGCCGCGCTCAGGTCGGCCGCTGCGCAGGATCTCCAGCTTCCTCTAAGAAGGGGTCCGAGTAGATGGGGTCTCGGAGGTTTTCACGGTTCGAATGATTGAGGCTCGATTGATTGAGTTTTCGCGGCAGGCTAGAAAACGGGAAGTTGGGGAGAAAGCTGGAAGTTGGGGCAGGCTAGAGCCGAGAGAACGGAGGGAAAGCGAAAGTTTGGGAAAGAGGGGAGAAAGCTAGGGAAAGTTACCAGAAGAGGAAAAGGTACCCATACCGCTAGCCTTGGCCCGATTTCCCCCTTTTGGGCCTCCTGGGAGGCCCTCGTCGCCACCGCTGGATTCGCCTCGAAATTCTGGTCAGAACGCACCCCGGCAGAGGTCCGGGGAGTAGCGGTATCGGTACCTCTTGATTTCCCAAGCTGGGGAGAGCTGGGGAAAGCCAGGAGAGGTTCGGGCAAACCTGGGGAAATCCAGAGAACGCGATTTGAAGGCTGGAAGGAGCCTTGGAAACGATGTGGGGAATTCATGGGAAGCTTGGGGACACCGCGTGAAATCTGGGGGCTTGGGGAAAGCGTGCTAAAGCTGGGGGAAAGCAGAGGAAAGGAAAGCTGGGAGAGACCGAAGGACAGTTGGGGAAACTTGAGAAAAACGAAGGCGGGAACGCCTAGGGATAAATAGAGGGAGTTTGGGGGAAAGAGAAGGACAATTTTGGGAAATCTGGGAGTTAAATGAGGGCGAGCGAGGGGAAGCGACGGGCAACCAGGGAACGCGGAGGGAATCATGAAACCTTTTGTTCGCCCTTTCTGGGCTTCCGGGCGTCTTGTCGTCGTCACGGCCAGGTTCCCTTCGAAATTCTCACACTTTCGACCCCCCGACCCATGTTCCTCGCGTCGTGCAAATATCAGGACGAAAGGTTTCGTGGCAATGTTCTGCATCCCGGGGCCCACGCCGGGCCCCAGGACTGTCAAAAACCAACGGGACGGAAGCATCGCTCCGAGAGAGTGGTCCCGACCTCTAGGGATCCACGTTGTGAGAAAATGGCGCAGTTCTGCGCCGAAAAAATCGACCGCACTGCGCAGA